CTATCTATCTATTTATCTATCTATCTATCTATCCATCTATCTATATGTATATATATATAATCAATAAATGAATACATAAGTGAACACATAAATAAATAAATAAGTAAATACATACATAAATATTATGGATGAATACCAGGTCCCCGGCCCCGGGGCTCCCGCCCACCCCCGGGACATCTGGGTCACGCCCGTGTTGCCCCCCCCCCGGGGGTTCCAAGACGGCCCAAGCGGCCCTCGAGACGGCCCAAGAATGTTCCAAGACGGTCCAAGAGGGCCCAGAGTCGCCGAAAGATCGGTCCAAGACGCCCATGATGGCTTCCAGACGACCCAAGACGCCCCCAAGAATCCCCAGCGGCCTCCAAGAGGCCTCCCAAGACGGCCCCGAGAGGCAGAAATCGTTGATTTGTCATGTGTTTTTTTCTGTGTTTTTTGGTTTCTCGCTGTTTCCGCTTTCTGAGGCTCCAAGACCGCCCGAGAGGCTCCCAAGACTGCTCCAAGACGGCCCAAGATGCCCCCAAGAGAGCCCCAAGACGGCCCGAAAGAGCCCCAAGACCGCCCCGGATCCGCCCAAGACGGCCGAAGAGTGCCCCAGGAAGGCCCCAAGAGGGGCCCAAGAGAGGGAACACGAACCGAAAAATCGAGCTCTCCGCCCGAAGATGCCCCCATGAGAACCCAAGAAGCCCCCAAGACGCCCCAAGAGGCCCCCAAGAGGCCCCCAAGAGGGGCCCAAGAGGCCCCCCACAGGCCTCCAAGAGGCCCCAAGAGGCCCCCACGAGGCCCAAACGAGGCCTCGTTTGGGGCTCCCTTGGGCCTCTCTTGGGGCCCTTCCACGCCCTCTTGGTGCCATCTTGCGGCCTCGGACGCTTTCGGAAGCAAAAAGGCGAGAAGGCACAAAATATAGATTTCTCATTGGTCTTTGATCGATCTTCGCCTCTTGGGGGGCCTCCCTGGGAAGCTCCGTGGCCGCTTGGAGTCACCTTGGGGCGGTCTTGGGGCCTCTTTGAGCATCTTGTGAGCCATCTTGAGCAATCTTGAGCAATCTCGGAGCCCATCTTGGGCTCTCTCAGGCCTCCTTGGAGCCATCTTGAGCCGTCTTCGACGATCTGTCCGCTCGCGGGGACCCCATCTAGGTCCAGGGGAGATGGTTAGGGGCAGAGGTACCCTCCCCGAAGGGGTAGAGGGAAGGGTGGAGGGAGGAAACGCGCTCAACCACCTACGCACAGAGAGCTGGTGGGATTCTCTTTGCAACTCCTCTCATACCCTGTTCTGTCAAACGAATGCTCATATATGTTTGTATATATGTATGTATATATATATATATATATATACAGATATTCGTTTGTATATGTGTATATTTGTATATCCATATGTATGTATGTATGTATGTATGTATGTATGTATGTATGTCTGTATGTCTGTATGTCTGTATGTATGTATGTACGTATGTACGTATGTACGTATGTACGTATGTACGTATGTACGTATGCACGTATGTACGTATGTACGTATGTAGGTGTGTGTCTGTATGTATGTATGTATGTATGCATGCATGCATGCATGCATGCATGTATGTATGTATGTATGTATGTATGCATGCATGCATGTATGCATGTATGCATGTTTGTATGTTTGTTTGTATGCATGTATGTATGTACGTATGTATGTATGTATGCATGCATGCATGCATGTATGTATGTATGTATGTATGTATGTAGGTATGTATGTATGTATGTATGTATGTATGTGTGTATGTATGTACAGATGTATGTATGTATGCATGCATGCATGCATGCATGCATGTACATATGTACGTATACACTAGAACCACGCGCGCGCTTCGCGCGCTCAGGTTCTAGCTCTGCTTCGCGGTCGAACTTTGAAGACCTTTATTTTGTGACCAAATCCTCCGGGGCCCCTTTGGGAGACCTCTTGGATGCCGTCCTATCCGTTTTGAGCCACCCTGGGTTTCGTTTGGGCGTCTTGGGGGTCTCTTGGGGACCTCTTGGGGCCTCTTGGGGACTTGTGGGGCCTCCTGAGAGGTTGTTTGGGCGGAAGGCTGCAACTTTCGAGTCGGAGTTCCGCTTTTGAACCCCTCCTGGAGCCGTCTTAGTTGGCCCTTGGGCCGTCTTGGCGCCCTCTTGGGCTATCTTGAAGGCCTCTGGGGAGGGTTTTCGGTTGGCTTGGGCAAGGCTTGGGGGCCTGTTGGACCGTCTTCAAAGCCGTGAAGGCCCCCAAATCGTATATGATTAGCATGTGCGTTTCGCCTACAGGAATGTAGCGACTTTGGCTTCTTCGGATCCTCTTGGGGGTGCTCTTGGAGGCCTCTTGGGACGTTTTGGAGCCTTCTTGGACTTTCTTCGGGCCATCTTGGACAGTCTTGAGCGACTCGGGGCTTTCTGGGACCTTTTTGGGCCCCGTTTTGGGGCTAACTTTGGCCGTCTTGTGCAGCCCTTGGGCCGTCTTGGCCTCCTCTTGGGCTATTTTGAGGGTGTCTTGGGAGTGTCATAGGCTCTCTTGGGCAAGTCTTCGGAGCCTCTTGGGCCGTCTTCAAAACCATGAAGGCCGAAAAGTCACATATGATAAACATGTATGTTTTCGTGTGCGAAGTCAACGATTGTGGCTTCTTGGGGCCCTCCTGGGAGTGCTCTTGGAGGCCTCTTGGGACGCCTCGGAGCCTTCTTGGACCGTCTTGGGGCCATCTTGGGCCGTCTTGGGCGACTCTTGGGCCGTCTTGGGCGCCGTCTTGGGGCCAACTTGGCCGTCTTAAGCGGCCCATGGGCCGTCTTGGCGCCCTCTTGGGCTGGACAGGGGCGCCTATTGGGAACGTCTTGGGCTGTCTTGGGGAAGTCTTGGGAGCCTCTTGGACCGTCTTGAAAGCTGCGAGAGCTGACAAGTCGTACATGCTGAAAATGTACGCTTTCCCATAGGAAATTAATGATTTGGCCTCTTGGGTCCCTTTTGGGAGTGCTCTGGGAGTCCTCCTGGGCCGTATTGGGCAGCTCGGGACTTTCTTGCAACGTCTTGGGGGCCTTTTGGAACCCTCTTGGCTCGTTTCGGCACCCTCTTGGCCTCTCCTGGCCGCCTCTGGGGAGCGAAACGGGGGGGTATCAGCGGGCTTCCCCCGATGGTTGCGGGGTGGGCCGGCCCAGGCCGGGGGGGGCCTATTCATATCATGTATTCATGCATTCATGCATCTATGCATATATGCATGCATCCACACATATATATATATACATATATATATTTATACATGCAGTCTTATGTATACACACATGTACACATAGATATACAACTCCTCGACTTCTTCAAACATCCATACTTGCATGGGTGTGTATAGCTGCTTGTCTGGCTGTGATGTGCATCTCTATATACGCACTTACATGTGGTGTGTATAAGTGGCACGTGCGTACCCAGGCTCGTACAACAAATGCAGCACGCAAACATCGCAGAACGGGGCAATAAGAGGAATATGAAGGCGGACCCGATGAAGAGGAGGAAGGAGACGGAGAAGCAAAGCAAAACGGAGAGAAAACAGATAACGAGGACCACCAGGGGACTGTTGGGAAGGAGGTGCAACAGTGGAATCGCAGTCGAACGCAGGTGGGGTTGCCACACCTCGCGATGTGTGTGGCGCAGGAGGGTGTTCTACACCTTGCGACTGCAGTTGAAGAGAAGCTCCGAAGCCAAACTTTTGAAAAGAAGCTCCTAAGACGAAAGACTATGAGGACGGCTTTGAATGCCCAAAATCATTGAACACCATTGCGTTCGTGAAAATTTTACGTTAACCTGTTGGAATTTCATGGTGTTTTTTTTGTTGACCGTGACATCGCGATCTGCCTGAGGGGCGCGTAATGTTGTCTCGGCGGCGAGCGAGGAGGGAAATGCGAAGGAGAATGCCTTCTCGGAAGGCGGCGGGGCTCCTCTGAGAGGCCCTCCGTCCTTCTGAGAGATCTTCTGCGTCTTCGGGGAAGGCTTGGACGACATGTCGGAAGACCCGAAGACGTCCGAGCCTTCTGAGAGGGCCCGCCACCCCCTCACTTCCCCCCTGGGCGCGCCACCGATTCACGTGATCTCGAGGTGATCCCGAGCGACATGGGCCGAGCAGGTCGCGAAAAGGGATTGAGTGTACATCTTTGGGCGCTGCTTCCTCGAAGAGGTGCGTATGATTACGGCACCGATTTATGTAGGGAGACAGAGCTCGGGAGAGAGAGGGCGAGAGAGAGAGAGAGAGAGAAAGAGAGAATGACATCGATACACATCTAGATCTGTCGAGAAAGAGAGATAGAGAGAGAGAGAGAGATAGCGAGACATCAAGAGAAAAAAAGAGAGGGATACCTAGAGAAAGATGGAGAACGAGACAGAGGGAGTGGGAGAGGGAGAGAGAGAGAGAGAGAGAGATCGAGGGAGAGAGAGAGAGAGAGAGAGAGAGAGAGCGAGAGAAAGAGAGAGAGAGAGAGAGAGAGAGAGAAAAAGAGAGAAACAGAGAGAACGAAAGAGATACACCCCGTGTCGTGCCTTGGTTGTGGGCTAGGGTCCTCTTGGGGGCTTCTTGGGGCTCTCTTGGGCCTTTGGGGACTTCTGGGGTTCTCTGGGCAGTTTTGGGGGCCATGCTGTTACTAGAAGGCTCACGGGGACAGTTCTTGTTCTCCCCTCCAGGTCTGACGACTTTGATCCGTGTAATCGCCAGAAAAATGCGACGGTCCCTGGCGCAGTCCTGCGCCCAGAAGCGCCCCAGAGCGTGTGGAATTCCATGCCCTGGGCCCGTGAACGCGTATTCACAATACTCAACACGTAGAACTCGACGGGACCTGATGACACTCCACACAGTGCCTACGGCACGGTGGCGGGTGGATGTCTGTACGTAAGCTTACCAGGGTCTTTAAAAGTGTATATTTACATATGCAGTCGCCGTGCTTCTCTTGCAGATGTTTTGGCGGCAGTATCAGCACGGCACTGTTTTGCTATCTTTGTCTCTTGCCGATAGCGGCCCCGCGGGTGAGGTCTGTTTACGCATGAAACCCGTCGACACGCAGATGCCTCAGCGCACGAGCGTCCTCATGGTGGTTGAGCGGGAGGACGCCGCGCTCCTCGTCGTCCTCCTCGTCTTCTTCGCCCACCTCGTCCTTCTCGTCCTCCTCGTCTGCCGCGTCCTCGTGGTGGTCCTCTTCGCCCTTCTCCTCGTCATCGTGGTGATTCTACTTGTCCTCCTCGTGGCAGTCCTCCTCGTTCTCGCGGTGGTCCTCGACGCCCTCGGTCCTCGTCGCCCTCCACGTCCGCGCGCTGATCCTCGCAGCCCTCTTCCTGCTCCCCACCACGCTCACCCTGCAGGTCCTCCTCGTCGTCCTCGTCCTCGCGGTGGTCGGGCTGGAGGGTGCCGGGCGGAAGTGGGGATGCAAGCAGTGCTGTTATCCCGAGTCGACCAGGGCCAGTCTCTCCCAGTTCTGCTCCAAGAGCATGAGGAGAAGGATATGAGGGTG